GTACAGAAAACAGAAAAGGATCCACAAAGATATCATGAATCTCACACAGGTAGTTCTGCCTGTGAGAGGAAGAGTAATGATCTGGAAGATGACAAGACCACAGTGGCCTCTGTTGTGGACAGTGTGAAAGGACAAGCAGGCACCACCTGCAAGTACTGCAGAGGTTTAGACACCTGGAGAACGCAGTCTTTTTTTTTTTTCTTTTTTAAGATTTTATTTGAGAAAGAGTGAGAGAGACAAAGCATGAGGGGGAAAGGTGAGAAGCAGCAGACTCCCCACTGAGCAAGGAGCTGGATGTGGGACTCAATCCCAGGACTCTGGGATCATGACCTAAGCCGAAGGCAGAAGCTTAACCGACTGAGCCACCCAAGCGTCCCTGGAGAACGGTCTTTAGTAAGAAAAGGAAGTTTGAGTTCTGTAGAGACTAATAGATGACCTGGTTTAAATGGAGATGGAGTTTTAGAAGACTGTAAAAAAGGCAAGGTCAGTTCATGTGATACTATTCCAAGGTAATGCCTGTGTGACCTTTGACAGAAACCTCTGAGCCTGTTTAAATATAAAATAGGAAAGATACTTGTTCCATACACCTTATGAGGTAGTGAAGATAAGCTGAGAAGTGAATGAACTTTATAAAGCAATCCGAGTTACAGGGCTAGAATTTGCCCAAAATGTCATGTGAAAAAAATGAATTTGGGTTAGCAACAGATTACAGCGAAGTTTGTAAAGACTTTACGATGCCTATTTTATTCCACATTGAGTGGGAAACTACTTAAACCAAAGGAGATTAAAATAACAGCAGTCAAGGGTGTCAAAAGTCCTAGAGATCATCAGAGCTAATTGAGAATATGAAAGAACACTAGATAGGAGAATTCGACCACTGCAACCTTGGAAGAGGTAAATTTTCACTCTTTCAAGGAATTTGACATGGCTATAAAATGAAAAGTATTCCAGTGCTCACCAGTTAAGTGCTTTCACAGATGTCAATGCTCAACAGCAATCTTATAATGTAGCCATCTATGGCTATGTAAATTTAGTCATAATTCAAGGGCTTAATCGCCAAATGTGGTTACTGGCTACTGTACTGGACAGCCCAAGTACAATCCATCATCACAAAATTCTATTGGACAGTGCAAAATCCAGTGTAGGTGGCACTTGGGAAACACTCCTTAAAAACCTGACTCACTTGTGATAGCACCAAGCCACCTGTAATGGAGCAATAGGAATGAAAACATGGGTTAGACAGTGCTTTTTTTTGGTCTTCTTTTTAAAGATTTTATCAGAGAGAACACACAAGAGCAGGGGAGATGGAGAAGCAGGCTGCCCACTGAGCAGGGACTCAATCCCAGGACCTTGGGATCATGACTTGAGCCGAAGGCAGATGCTTAACCAACGGAGCCACCCAGGCGTCCTTGTCCTCTTTATTTCTAAGAAAGCATATATACTTCATAGATGGGAACCTCACTTCCGAATTAACTGTAGATCACTTAAACGTTATATATAAATCACCAGGGGCACTTAATGAGTACAATTGGCCTAGTACACAGCAGGTACTTAGTAATTATCTCTGCCAACACAGGCTTTAGTTGATGTAGGAGGCACAGAAGTAAATCAACTCCCTGGCCTCCAAGTCTTCCCATAATGATCTGTAATTCTTATAAGCTAAATTGCTGTACTGTCTCTGAATACCACTAACTTCTGCAGTTACCAAGTTCTCTGTTACGTAGGCTTTTCCTCTGAGTTACAGCAGGCTTTTTTTTTGCTTTCCCAAATTGTTTCTGCATGTTTCGTGACTTCTTTGCTTACTTACATTTCTCTGATGATTGAAAATAAGATTCTTAAGTTACAAATTGCTTTGTCAAGCCTTAACAGGCTATCACCCCCATCACCTTTGAAACCATTAACAAAGGCTCTTCCCACTCTCCTTGTCCCAGAGATGGCTCTCATCGCCACCAGATTTCCTTCACTGAGAATTTCACCATCTCCATAAAACCTCCAGGGCCTACTCTAAATCATATGGCATGGACCACGTACGAAATAACTTGGTACACGAATTATACAGTTATATACCTCAAAACTATGACTAGAAGCACCTTATCCTATCCACATTTGGCATAAACACTCCAGTGCTCATTCTGGCTGAGGAAACTCTAAAGATAAATTACTGATGTGTTGTTCTAGTTCAGGGTGTCCTAGAGGACTAAGTAAACACAATTGAGTACTATAACTAGTAACACTGCTCCACAAGTACTTGGAATGGTTTTACTCAAAATTTTGGCATCAGTCATTAAATCAGGCACATTAGAAAAATCATGATCTGTGATTTTGTTTTTAATTATCTCAAGCCTCATCACATAATTTACAAATTTGTGCTGATGATAGATCTCTTTATTTTAACCCTTCTAACGAGTTGGCAAAAGCACCATTACCGATCATACATATATGGTATTTCCACAACTGTGTCTTTGCATAGCCGTTTAGAAGACAATCCTGAATTATAACTTAGTCTGACTTAGTAGAGAATTCACAAGCCAAGTCTGCTGCTATATGTTGTCACACTGAATTTTAAAAGCATCTGACCTTACAGATCATCTATAAAATGTGAGAAGTGTTAAATATTCTTTAATATTGAACATAAACCACACTAAAATGCCTTTCATTAAGCAAAAGGCAACATTTTAGATGTAGAGAATTTTAATTAAATTGGCATAGTTAAGACCAAAAAGATAAAGTGGACATTGCCAGGCTATCTTCAACCCTTGCCTTTAACAGGCTAACAAACACAACTTGAAACACAGCTGAGTCTTGCTGGTTCTGAGACAGTGAAGGGATTTCTTCAGTATTTAAATATATTAATATAACCAGTTATATAAATCTAAATATAAAACCAATCTCCTATAAGTTCAGAGATGGCATTTACCATCTCTGCGAAAAGCTGAACATTACTAATCAATTCCAATCATATTTTAAGAAGGGGAAAAGTGACAGCACTTGCTGAACCAGAATTACTATCAAGGTTCAAAAAGCTGATCATATTCTTTTAACCACAAGCCAATCTTATCTAAATCAGGACTGTCCAAAAAAATAGTCTATCAGCCATTCATGATCTGAATTCTGGTGTATGCGATCAATTTAAATACGGTACACACACAAAAAAGTCATGAGACACTTTTGTTTTGCAATAAATAAGGCAATAGCCAACTATTACTCCTTAGTAGCTATTTTGAGATAAGCTATCAAGTCTGCTCTTTCCCCTGTCTTCTTAATGCCAGCGAAGATCATTTTTGTTCCAGGGATGTACTTCTTGGGATTCTCCAAATACTCCATCAGTGTCTCTTCTCCCCAGGTGATGCCTAAACAAGGAGGGATGTATTGTTAAGTATTTTACACTCCCGATAAAGGTCTCACCATTGGTTATATCCATGCAATTTGTGCTTCTGTTATTTCAAAACTGACCCCAGCCCCCAGCCCCTTACCTTTGTTCTTGTTGGCATCCGTGTAAGAAAATCCAGGGGCCTGACCTGTCTTTCGGCCAAATAAACCATGGAGATTTGGCCCAGTCTTGTGCTTGCCTCCCTTTTCCACGGTATGGCATTGGGCACACTTCTGAACAAAAATCTTCTTGCCCTTCTCAACATCACCCATTTTTTAAATCTAAAAAATGAAAGACTCCATTTATTACCTTTTTCTTTCACGTAAAAATCCAATGGAAACCAATCAGTGGTCAGTCTAGTGACTTAATTACTAATCCACTGCACATCTAGGATATAAGTACCAGGATGAATCTTGTTTTACTCCGTACACTTGCAACAGACTCTTTAGTACCAAAACCACTAGGTGAAAGGAGAAATTCCTGAAATACACATCTATGTGTGCTCAAGTGAGGGAATTAAACCCCAAGTAAGCCAAGTGGGAACCTAATTCTAATTCAAAAGTTGAGGTCAAGGTCACAGAAAGTCACAACTCTGAGTAAGTTGAAAACCACGATTACATTAAACCAAAACTACCAAAATGTCAACCTTCAAGAAAGCCTAATTATTTACTCATACTACAAACTGAAGCCACTTCTGAGAAGTCAGAATACGTTTAAAAAAAAAACAGAAGTCGTGCTTGATCCAGCCTGCTCAGGTCACTATCAACTGCCTTGCTGTGTGGGTGGGAGGGCAGTGGTGGGCTGCGAGGTTTCCCAGGGACCCCCCATCCTCCAGTCTGGATCTCAGGAGTCAACCACGAGATCACCCAATTAGGCCGATTTCAAGAAAACTGATAAAACCTACCTTCCCGAGATGCCTAGGCAGATTAAGGGGAAAAGCGACAGGTGACCCAGAAGAAAAATAACCCCTTTTTGGAGGAGCAGCAGTTTTTGCTCCCTTTGAAGGAGAACGTGAGGCGCTACGCGCCGTCCCTCACCTTCCCGCCCTTATCTCGGGAAGTCTTGTCACTTCCACAGCCCCTCAACCCCGACTACGAGAACTTGGGTCTCAGTCGTATTGCAACGAGGTCTCCTCCGGGCTTTCAGGACCCTGAACAAGTCCATTCCCCGACTTAGATGGGGTTCCGCCCCACCTCAAGCCGTAGCCCACCGGGTTCTGGCTGACCACAAGCTGGGGTCGTGACTCGTGGGCCCCACCCGCAGAAGCCGGCGCAGGCCTCCGCCTGCCCGCGCACCTTCAACCAGTCGCGCGCCCCCGTGCTCGGCTTGCAGCCCGCTGCGGCCCCCGCGCCGCGCGCTCACCGCTCTTTTGTCGCGTGCAAGGGACCCACTCGCAAGCCGGACGTCCCGCTCTCTAAGTCCAAGGACACGCCGGTCCGCACGTAAGTACCGGTGTTGGTGCAACCGAACTCTCTCCGTCCCCTCGCAGCGGGACGTGCGGCCGCGCCCCCTAATACGTAGTAACGTCACCGCTCCTCATTGGCTTCAGTCTCCAGGGCCTGCGTCAACGACCTGCACGTATGCCGGCTAGCAGGGTAGGGGGTATCGCGTGAGTGCCCTTCTGCTCTCTTGACGGCAGTTACGACAGGCCATTGGATGTACGACAACGAGGTGGTGCCGGGAAGGGCTGACATCACCGTTATGCCCTTGTGTGCATGCGTGTACCCAAGGGGAGGGTGGAGCGGAGTCGCGTGGTGGATGGAGGGCGTTATCCTGCCAAGGTAACGGCTCTTGTGCTAGTTGACGTAATGCGCTTTGAGGGGGGCGTTTTGCCTGCCCGGAGGGGAACGCCCCAACTCTACGCACGTAGAGGTCTCCTGGCTACCGTGCCTTCAGCTGGCGACCTTTACCAGTTTCTGTGATGGTTCCACGGCTGGCGCCAGCCGCACCCCAAATGGATAGCCTGGAACCAGGAATTTTAAGAGTTGGACCCGAGCTCCCGACATGTTCTTGTTTCGCCTTCCCTCTGATACTTTAAGTCATGTTTCAAATCTCCCCTTGATGGACGCCCCAAGACTGGGGAATGGGGAAGGTGCTGCAGCTGCGGCAGAAACTGGATGTAGCTCTGGCCGCACACTTGCCGGCTTTTGTGCCGACACCCGTCTCTCCCTTGCGTTTATGTACGGAACAAGGAGGATTTATAGGCTACATTAGGAAGAAGCATTTTTACATGGTTAGAGAATTGTTGGAAATCTAGAGAGGATTTGCGTCTCATCCAACCTAGGTTGAATATGACATGTTCCAGTAAGAGAATGTGGTTGGGGTCGTGAGAAAGCAGGTTTGATACCACAGCTTCCAGGTGTACTTTCCCTCCAGAACTAGCTCCCTTTCCAGACATACTCAATTCCACTGGCAGGCTTCTTCTGGACTCCCTTGTCCCTCTGATTCAGCCCCCAAATTGTGAATGAATTTTTCCTCCCATATTCTAGCACTGCCATATTCAGTCAAAGGTTTATTGAATGCATATTATGTACCTGGAGTAAATAAATCATTGAGGACTCTTTCTCTGGTGGAGCTTACATTCTAGCAATCTTTGTCCTGCCCCCAATTTAAGCAGTAGATACTATTGCCTTACACCCCTTCCAAATCACTGGTACTATGATAACTGCTCCAGACCACCCATCTCTCCATATAACTGGATTATTTTGTTTTCTGTGTCCTGATTTCCAGTTCCCTTCTCTCTAATTGCACACGCTACTGCCACAAAAGGGTGCTGTGAAACAGCAGAATTCACACTATTCAAGATCTTCTGTGGCTTTTGGAAGCGACCAAGATAGCATTTAGGTGTACTCCTGAAGTAGGCTTATTTGGCTAACCAAGTTTTTAAAAGACCAAGCTTAGCAACACCTTGCAAATTTAACCTGTACTTCGGAAGCCAAGTACTGATATTCTCACCCATATCCCTCCAAGAAATACGTGGTCCTTAAACAGGTATAGTTCTATCAAAATCTGTTGTGTTTGTTATATCAGAAGTTACTGTCTTTGTTCATAGGGGAGTTGACTCATGGGGAGTATCAGCATTGTGCTGATACTGCAGATGGTATAGATGTAGCATTAAATCACTTGGCCCAGTGAATTGATTGATATCATTTAATCCCATATTATTCCCATGAAGGGGAGAATAGAAAACAGAAGTTCTTAATACTTTTAATTAAGGACATTGTGGATAAAGAGTTTTGTTATTGAAAGTAATGGGAAGATGAGGAAAAAAGTAACAGCAAGAGTAAATACTTGACACATTCCTTTAGTAAAGCAGATACCGTAAATTATGTTTTATAATATCTATGTATTCACGTTTGGAAGAGACACATAGTACTTACAGTTTACTCAAGATACCTGAGAGAATTAGTTGAGAACAATAATATTCTGTTTTTTATTCTATGTAGTATCTGTTCTGTCTACTTCCATCTTATCCCATAGGTTTGATAGTGGCTGGTAAGGGGTAGAGCTATTATAAAGCAAATGTCTTAGATATTTCCTTCTACCAACATAATGAATGCCATTTTTTTTTTTTAAGATTTTATTTATTTATTTGACAGAGAGAGACATAGCGAGAGAGGGAACACAAGCAGGGGGAGTGGGAGAAGGAGAAGCAGGCTTCCCGTGGAGCGGGGAGCCGGATGCGGAGCTCGATCCCAGGACCCTGGGATCATGACCCGAGCTGAAGGCAGACGCTTAACGACTGAGCCACCCAGGCCCCCCTGGATGCCATATTTTTAAAGACCCCGGATAAAAAAGATCTAATAAGATACCCTCCCTCCAGATCAAAACATTTAACAAGGTCACAAGAAAGTAAGAGAAATCAGGTTAGAGGCAGGGGTGAGGTGGGGAACAAGAACTGAAAATGAACAGGGTAAGCTTCAGCTGACTTTAGGGCCACCCTAGGGACTTTTGCTGAAATAAAATAACTTTAGGCTTTAGCAGCAGCTCAGCAGAATGAAAGTAAAGCTCATAAAAGGTGAGAGTAAGGGGGTGAGGAAATAAGCTCGGCTGAGACCCCTGCATAATGCTGAAACACTTGAATCCAAAGGATAAAATAACAGTCTGTTCACCAGCAAAGGGAAGAACCAGGTTAGTCTTGTCTGGCTTGGCCTTAGATGATGTAGGAAAGAACATTAGGGTTTGAAGCTGATGACCAACAAAGAATACCTGAGATGTCTTTGGTGCAAAAAGGTGGTTTTATTAAAGCACGGGGACAGGACCTGGGGGCAGAAAGAGCTGCACCGGGGTCATGAGGAGCGACCCATTATATACTTTCAAGTTGGGTGGGGGTGTAGGGATAGCGTAAGTCTCTAAGGAATTTGGAAGCGAGGTTTCCAGGACCTTGAGGGGGCTAGCTATTGTTGGGAAAAGGTCATTTATTACCGTTAATAAAACCTTAGTCATGAGACCCTTCAGATGTATATCAGTGGGCCATATGCTTGGGTTTGGGGTGATTGCCAACACGTATCTTGGGGGATTTAGAGATAAAGGAAGTTTCTAAAGGAGTTTTTATATGTTAAGTAGATTTACAGGATCCTGGGGGTGGGGGTGGGGCTAGGGTTGTCTTTTGCACTTAGCAAAGTATTAACATTGAGGCAGTTGAGTCCCTAGAGGACTGTCACGCTGCCTGTTTCAAGGACTTGTCAATGGGCTGTAGGTAGTAAGGAAATTTAATAATTTTTCTTCTGCCTTTGTTTCCCACATCATTAGTAGGTACTGAGTGGAAGGAAAAAGTGTTCCCTGAGAATTCGTAACTGCAGGTTGGCCCTCATGCAGTTTTAGGGTTCGATTTTACTCTACCTGCATGGTCTGGGAAACCTCTAGCTGAAAAATTAACACAGTAGTTGTGGATGGGCAGTGTGTTCTGGTGTCTGAGAAGCAAACATAAATCTGCAAAGGACTGTTTTAACCCAGGCTCTCAGGATTCCCGCACTTAAGAAATGCTAGGCATGAGATCATTATGAAAAACAACAAGGAGCAAAATTACACCCACAAAGGGCCATAGGAGTTGGAATTATTAGATATCATTGGGGAAGTAAGAAACTTACCAAGAAAGAGATGTCTCCTCACTTTACTATATTATGAAAGTAAATTTGTTCATTATTGAGTTAAGTACAATAAAGTGGTTGTATATAGGTAGCTCACAAGGAACTACCCAATCAGAATAAAATTTCACACGGTTTATACAGCTAAATTAATTATAATGCTTTTATACCATGCAGTTTTTAGCTAACATGTAACAAACCTGAGGCTTTAGGATCAATAGTAGCCTGTTTCCCTTTTGGCAGCACAATTATTGCTTAGTATTTGGATTAATGGTAACCAGTTTTCTGTAGGAGGACTGTCATCACAGTTTGTGGCCAGATCCTTCTTGGTTGAGTTTTTGTTTTTTTCACATTCTCTCACCCTAAGTTCACTCAGGAATTGGGGTAGCCATTTGTTTAATTAGTTTTCCTCATCCAAAAGAATAATAAAACTTATTTTCCCTAGAAACAAGTAGATACACCTACTTTAAGCTCCTAAGGTGAAGCTCTGTCTTCCTAGGTGTTTACATACCAAAAGGGATAAAGCCCAGACCACTGAGAGAATCTTTTACGTTCTTAAAAGGCTGGAGTGAGGACTTTGGCCTTTTGGATTTTCTTTTTTTTTTTTGATTTTCAAAGGAAACAGTCCTAGAAGAGGGAAACGAGAAAATGGTGTCATTTTCCTTTAAAAACAGAGAAAATTTTTTATCTACCTCTTGAATGGGTAATATGAAATGACATTTAAAACATTTGGACAAAGCAGAAAACAAAAGCGCTTGCAATGAACAAGAGACTATCAAAAACAACCAGGCAGATATTTTTTTTTTTTTAGAAGATTTTATTTGACAGAGAGAGAGAGTACAAGCAGGGGGAGCTGCAGGGAGAGGGAGAAGCAGGCTGCTGCTGAGCTGAGAGCCCACTCGGGGCTCTATCCCAGGACCCTTCCCAAGCAGAAGGCAGACACTTAACAGACTGAACCACCCCACCCGGGTGCCCCAACCAGGCATATTTTAAAAAAGGCCAAAGCTAATTTGTAGACAATAACATAGCGGATTTGAAGAAGAATCAAATAGAAATTCTAGAACTGAAAAATAACCAAAATGAAGAGGATACTGAGACAATATATAATATACTTTTTTTTATTTTTAAATTTTTTTTATTATTTAAAGAAATTTTTTTTTTAAAGATTTTATTTATCCATTCATGAGAGACAGAGAGAGAGATGCAGAGGCAGAGGGAGAAGCAGGCTCCCCGCAGAGCAGGGAGCCCAATGCGGGACTCGATCCCAGGACCCTGGGATCATGACCTGAGCCGAAGGCAGACACTTAATGGACTGAGCCACCCAGGCGTCCCTATAATATACTTTTAAGTGGAGTGCCAGAAGAAGAGAAGACAGAAGGGGTAGAAGCAGTATTTGAGGGAAAGATACCAGTCCATAGGTTTAAGAAACCAAATAATTCCTAATACAGTAAAAAAACTAAAGACAAAGACAGTAATAATGTAAAAGCAAATTGAGAGAAATACTGACATTCAAAGAACTCAAACTGACCACTGAGTTCTTTACATCAATAGCAGAAGCCAGAGGTCTGTATATGGATATTCTCGATGTACTGGAAGAAAATAACTGTCAAATTCTTTATCTGGCAAAATATTTCTTAAGAAGGAAAGAAAGAAAGAAAGACATTTCAAACAAAAACTGAGTTTGTTACAGCATA